CCGTGATCTTGTCCACCACTTGGGCCACTCGAGCTCTGGACCCCTTCCCTGGGGCCGGCTTCCCACCCCGAGTCGTTTCTTGGTGCCGTCCTGGGGCCCGGCCCGATGAAGGCCTCCGGAGGCCGAGAATGGTGAGCACCCTCAGGCCCAACATCTTCGAGACATTTCGTTTTGTTATTCTCTTCTCTTTTCCTGCTCAACATTTTCGAGTCTGTGGAGGCCTGGGGTTCCTGCCACCTCCCCAGTGGCGACGGCGGCGCAAGGACGGCCGAGATAGAAAGCAGGCGGCGTGGGGCGGGCGGAGCGACAGCTCTCCACGTCGGAGAGCTTGAGCCGAGGCGACAGCGCTCGGCGAGCGAGCTGCATCACCACCTCCAGGGGGCGTTGGCGCGAGGGAGATATGCATGCCGAGCACGTGCGAGGATGAGAAGTAGCGCGGCAGCGACGAGAAAGGATGGATGGTTCGCGAGTACGCTCACATAACAAAATCAGTCCACGTGTTTCCATGGACCGCGCCATGCATCCTGACACACACACACACACACACATACGCACACACACACACACACACGCACACACACTCTTGGCATCTGGGCCGGGTGCTGAAATCAGGGCTCCCCCGGGGCCCCCGGGGGCCCCATTCCCATTAATTCACATGCATCTAGGTGTATATATATATGTACACATAGTTGCACAACATGTATGCGATCCCCAGCCCACATGGCCATGTTCGGAACCTCTCTCCTAAAGCTGTATGTCTTCACTGCATTGCTTTTACTGATCCATGACTTCGACCTCCAGGAGATTGCCAGAATGCTGCAATCAACAATCACAGCCCAGCGCGCTGGCTCGATAAACGGCAAAGGGCGAGCTCCCCCACCGCTGTGAAGGGTACGAACCCGCTCGTCTTCGTGGCGCTCGTTCGCGCACTGTGTGTGAGAGAGATGTACTCGAAAGCACTTTGGGGTGTGACACCCTAACGTGCACGCGTCGGTTTGCGCAGCGGGTGGGAGAACACCGCCGATTCACCAATGTTTTGCACCTCTTCGCTCTCCCTCCCCTTCGGATGCTGCTCCTGGCTCATCGCCTGATGACTCCGTCCCCTGCACGCCTGACTCAAACAACTGGAGAATATGTTGGAACCTGTCCCTCGGAAACGCCCCAAAACCTGTCCCTGGGGAAACCAATTGGTACCGATACTGCTGCTCCCCAGACCTTACCCGGAGAGCATTCCGACCGACCAGCAGTTCGAGGCGAAGCCAGCACTGGCACCGAGGAGCCGGGGCCACCCAAGAGGCTGGCAGAGGGGAAAACGAGGGGCGGGTACTGGTCTGGGTTGGAGCACCATGTGAGCGACGAAAAGAAAGGGGTCTTACGCGAGACGGCATAGCGACCTTACGCGGTGACTTACGCGGGCCGCCACCGGGGCACGCTGCATTGGAGACGAGGGCGCTCACGCGCGACCTTACGCGGGCAGCTTGTGCGCCAATGTCGGCGCAGACTACCCAATTTTCTTGCGTCGCTCACGTGGGACCTGCTCTAGAAGACAGACATACCGTAGACGGACCTACCCTTGATCTGACCTTGCACCGCGCCGAACGCAACGGCCACGTTGTCCACAAGCGTATCCGCCCTGCAAATGTCTATGGACGTCACGGCACCCAACGTGTCCACAGACGCTCTGGGCTAGGACGTGAGAGCGGTGTTTGGCAGCGGCCCCAGATGTTGCTCTTCTAGAAGCAGATATTGGGCGCCCGACTTATCCGGGGTAACTCGGGTCCGGGGTAACTCGGTTTTGGATTCCCGAAAAGGAAACCCGAGCCCTGCCCTGAGTTATCCCTGATGATTTGGGGCTCTCTGGACGCCCAAAATATCCGGGGTAACTCGGGTCCGGGATAACTCGGGTTCGGAATCCCGCACAACGAACCCGAGTTAGACCTGACCCGAGTTACCCCTGATGATTCGGGGCACTGATCCTCTAGAAGCAGATGGGCTTGGCCCTCCAGGGGGAAAGCGAGGGGAAGGGTGGCAGTACTCGGGGGCGGGAGACACATCCACATCCACGGGACCGCGGTCCTCGGCCGCGACCCCACGGAGATGGGGCGGCTCTGCGCAGGTGCCCCGCTCGGAACGCATCCACGGGATCGCGTAGCCATGGGATCGCGCCTCGGCAATCCAGACCGCGAGGGTATGGATGTGGGTATGTTCGTCGCTCGTGTCGGGGTCGGCCAAGAGGGGGGCGTCCCAGAAGGGGGGGGGGGGGCGCAACTCAGGGCCGGCGGCACGTGCGCGGCCCAAAGGGGGGGGGGGCCAGGGACATCATGGAATAAGAAGAGGCGCCATGACATCTGGGGAGATCTCATGGCCCCCGCCACGATATCCGCCCTCTCCACTAGTCATCACCCCCTCGTGAGGTATGGGTGCCTTTTCCGCCTCCGAGTCCCGAGGGTGCGGAGGAGGCCCGGGGCCCGGGCGCAAGGTGCTGCGGGGAGCTCCCCTCCGTGGCTTCCCAGGTGAGGCCCCAGAGTCCGAGCCACGACGCCGCTGGAGCTCGCGCTCCGCCCGCTCCGCCCGTGGCCCAGGGAGGGGAGACAATGATTGATGTGGACGCCCGAAATGGGTACAAAGAAAATGGGTACAGTGCCCAGCAACAAATTTTGCCCACAACCGACAGCGGCCGCTGTTGGGCGGGCGGCCCTGTGTCTTCAAGGGACAACGTCCGCGGCGGCGCGGACAGCGAGTCCTGTTCAAAATGGACAGGAACTGCTGTTGGGCATCGTGCCTCACCTTTCCGTAATTACCTATTTCGATCGTCTCGAATTGAGCAGGGACCGACCATCCTGGTATTCTTATAGGTTGTCCATTCCATTTTCTTAGAACGCAAAACTATTCGCATGTCAAAGACAATGTTCTTAGAACATAGGCCAGGTATGTTGAAACAAGACAATCTCGGACAGACATGTTCGAAGAGCATTTCGTGCAGACAACAAACAAAGCTCTTAGAACATTCTTTGGCGGGCCTATTGGCGGGCCGGGACGCTTCGCCACTGCTTGAACAACGCATCGCCCAGACATCGGCGAGACGCCCCCCGATAGCGAAACCGCCAACTCCTGGGCGGAATGGTCTCTGAAATTTGGTAGTCCCCAAACGTGGTGGTGACAACACCTGGCGGTGAGTCTCGGGCGATTTGGTGTCACCACCCGGTTTGGGGACTCGTGCGGTTTTCCGAGGATGTCCCGGACGCTGGTGGGTCCAGGAGTCACAAAACCCGGTGGTGACCCCGCGTCCCCAAACCCAGCGGTGACCTTTTTGGGGATTCCAGGTCGCCACCTGGTATCTCACCACCCGGTTTGGGGGTTCCCAAGAAATCGGGGGCCCAAGCTGCAAGCCCCCCGGCATCGAATCCGACACTCGTGCCCAGGTGCGGCACGCAGACGGCCGGCGCCGCAGGACCTGCGCGAGGCCCCAGAGCTCGACGGCGGCCATGCCGGGGGAGCGCTGGCTGCCAGCCGCGAGGGCAGAGGTGCGCGGCTGGCGATGCATCGGCGATTGGGGGCCGATGCTTCCCCCCCGGGCCAGTCCCCACCTGACACACCGAAATCCATCAGTTCAGGATACTCCTCGCCTCCCCGGTCGCCATGGAGACGCTCAGGGGCCAGATCGCTGAGCTGAGGGATCTCAGGGGGCGTACCCTCTGTCGGTGCCCCTGATCGACGCTGCCGAGCAGACCCTCCCCAAGCATCCGGTGCTCTGCTGGTTTCCACGCGTGTGCCCCTGGACTGCTGGGCCCCTTCCGAAGGCCAGCTTCTCATTCCGAGCCGCCTCCGGGCAGTCCCGGAGCTGGAAGCTCACCCCCAGAGGCCACAAAGGGAGACAAACAAGACGCCTCGATGTGTGAACGTTTTCTTATTCGTCGTCTCGACATTGGGCGGAAAGGGGGGAGGAAGGGGTCTGGCTCCGGACCTCTGCTTGATGCGACTGTTTGCAGCAGTGCGTCCTATGGGGGAGACTCCACCTGCTCGAAACGGGCGCCAAAAACGGCCAAGATCTACTCCATGAGGGGGGGGGGGCGAGGGCCCGCGCCGATCGGTATAACAATATCGAGGCGGGGGGGGGAACGTGGACGAGGACGATGAGGCGGAGAAGGAGTCATGGGGGTTCCGCGATTCCATTGAACCCCCCAGGTCCAGGGAGGAGGAGGGTGATGGAAGGAGGAGGAGGAGGAGAAGGAGGAGGAGGAGGAGGACGAGGAGGAGGAGGAGGAGGAGGAGGAGGAGGAGGAGGAGAAGGACGAGGAGGAGGAGGAGGAGGAGGAGGAGGAGGAGAAGGACGAGGAGGAGAAGGAGGAGGAGGAGGAGGAAGAGGAGGGAGGAGGAGGAGGAGGAGAAGGACGAGAGGGAGGAGGAGGAGGAGGAGGAGGAGGAGGAGGAGGAGGAGGAGGAGGAGGAGGAGGGTCGCTCAAGCCCCCAAGGTGCTATCCCGTCGTGGTCGAGCGTGCGGGACCCCCCCCTTTGGGACTGCGCCGTGCCCCCCTGCCCGAGAACGAGCCTTCTCGTGAGCGACTTTTGATTCGGCGGTTCGGCATTGGGCAGAAAGGGGGGGAGGTAGAGGAAAGAGAACTATGCACATACACCGATTCTGGCCAGGCCCAATCATGAGCCCAGGATCGGTGCATACGCCCTCCTACCTTGGCCAGGAAGGCATATGCACCGATCCTGGGGCCAGGATGGGCCTGGCCAGGATCGGTGCATGTGCATAGTTCTCTTCGCCCGAGGAGGGGGGGGTCTGGCTCTGGACCTCTGCTTGGTGCGACTGTTTGGAGCCGTGCGTCCTTTGTGGGGGAGGCTCCGCCTGCTCGAAACAGGCGCCCAAAACAGCCAAGATCCACACCATGGGGGGGGGAGGGGGGGGGCGACGGCCCGCGCCGATCGGCAAAACAAAAAATAAAAGAACGTGAGCATCGTTTAACCGATTCCCATCCCCACCAGCGTGGGCCGGGCCCCACTGGCCGACGTACCCCCCTGGATGGGGATATAGTAGGCTGTTCCCTCCGGGTGTCGAGGGGCACCTCCCCAGCCGAGGTGGCGAGACGGTGGGGCTCGAGGTGTGCATGGGGATGGGGATCGGTCCGAACGACACTGAGAACGACCACGCTTCCGGGCGCTGGATGTCTGGGCCCCCGGCGCCGAGCGGCAGCAGCGGCGCGCGCGGGCGGTGCGCGGGGGCGCCCACCGGGTGCGCGGCGAGGGCAGCGAAGCCTCGCGCGCGGGCGCGGCGGGGCGGCGGGGCGGGGCGGCGGGCCACTGCCGGGCCGCCTCTGGCGCGGAGGGGGGCCTGCTCGGAGCAGGCCCCGGCGGGCGAAGGGCCTCTCGCGCCTCGGCCGCCCCCCCCCTCGGTCGGCAGAGGTGCAGTGGAGGTCGGTCCACAAGAAGCCTTCCACGCGAAGCCCAGCCCTGAGACCCCAGGACGTGCACTGGTTTTTGGTGCGGGAGCGTCACGCCTGCCATCGCAGAGCCATCGAAGCCCAAGGAACGAAAGGGCACTCTGGAGGCCAGCAGGGTGCTTCTTGGCATGGGCCCCCACTGTAGAAACATGGATCGGGGGCCCGCAAACATGGATTGGCGACCCACGGATGTGGCGCGCGGTCACCAAATCCATGGATCGGGGGAGGTGCCCTCCCGAAAATGCGGCCAGTGCTGCCTCGCTCGGCGGCGGAAATCCGCGATTTCCCCATGGAAACTGGACCCGTCGCTAATCCACGCCCTCCTGATCCATGTTTGCGATCGCCTGAAGGAAATAGGAAGGCGTTGAAAGTCGATTGGGTTCCGTCCGCCCGCTAAGGAGGACGGAAGAGGTGAAGCCACTCGATCATCGAAGTAGGAAGGCGCTTATAAAGTAGAGTGGAATCTTGGGGTCCGAGAGTACATACTTTCAACGACCGATGGGAAGCTGAGAAAGCGCACGTACGCAGTCTGAGGCCCGACACAAGGAGTCCCTCGCCCCAGACAACGACGCAAAAGCAAGCGCGCACGTGGGGCCTGTAGCGCCCAGGTGCCCACGCTGCTCTCAGACAAACCGCCGCCCCCAGGAGGGAGCTCGCCGTGTAGACTGTCGTCAAAGAGTCGCCCCAGATGGACCGCCTGCGTCGACATTCGCGACCAGCCTGTTCCGGACGTCCACCTGCAGCGACCTTCAGCGCCGACGGCGCCGACTTGCCCCAGCCATCGGCTCGACCAAAGCCAGCGCAAATGGCCCTTCGCGAGACGGCATTGAACATGTTGGCACATGGCAACCGTGCAACGGTCGCGGAGAGCGTTCGGCGCCCAAGGTGGGGCGACGAAAGGGTACCGATACCAATACTCCACGGAGCTCTCCAAGGAAGCATTCTGGCGAAGATTTCGAGGCGAACCCAGCCGTGGCGAAGAGTGAAGGGTAGTGGCATCGGTATCTTTCCCTCTTCTGACAGCGGATGCAGAGAGCTTCTGGTCCTGCATCCAGGCGGGCGTGGCGGGCGTTCGGCGAGCACGGCAGGCTCGTGTCGTGCTGCCTGCGGCGTTGGTTTCTGACACTGCGGGGATCGTTCAACCTTGAACGATCGGCCGCTTCCGAAACGCCAAATCGTTCTCAACATCGACCGATTCTGGGTCGCTGGCGGCGTTCCACGTCGAATGCAGACGGCGGGCCCGCTGCCCATCGACACGACGCGAACCTACCGCAGTTGAGGCGGGTGGGCTCTGTCTAGAGGCCTCCTAGATTGGGTCGGAGTAGACGGGGTCAACGGATCGCGGCATCGCCGACACATCGGCGATACATCGCCGATGCGTCGGCGACATCGGCGATGCATCGGCGACGCCAGCGTGGACAGAATCGGGGTCCGTCGATGCATCGCCGATACGGAGTGATCCTCCGATTCCATCTACAGGCGGCCCGTATCATAAAGATGCGCGATAAGAATGCAAGGTCCTTGGACGCCCATTCCGAAGCTTTTCGAGCGGGGCGCGGCCAACGAAAGTGGCCGAGGATGGGCCGGGGAGGCAAGGATGCACGGGTACTCTGAGGAAGGTTGCCTATCCTTACTATGCGGGTTGACTGCGCGCGGACCCTACCTATAGAAAAATAAAAGAGAACGCCATAAGCACAACCTTCGCGTGGATTTCTTGGATTTGCGCTGGGTGTTTCTTTTTGGCGCGCGGAACGAGCCAGGAACGGCGCCGGAGGCGCCGCCACGGGGCCCCAGCGCAGACCCAATAAACCCGCGCAGAGGGCCAAAAGTTTATGTTTATGGCGTTTTTTCTTCTTCGAATCTAGGAGGCCTGGACTGTCGGTGCGCGGGCACGGCGGGTCTCTGGCGGCGGGCGGCTGGCGGCGGGCGGCCGCGGAAGCCCTCCGGCGGGCGGGCGGCCGCGGCGGGGCGCGGCGGGCGGCGCCCGGAGAGGCGAGCGCGAGGCCCCTGTGCCGCAGCTCGTGCCCGCGGGCGTCCGGCAGGGGGCCGGCCTGCGGGGGCGGGCGGGTGGTGGTCCGCCTCCGCTCTGTTTTGATGTTGACCCCCAAACTTTTGGGAAAGGACCTAAGTTAGGAGGGGCAGAAACGTCAGGGATAGGAGAACCTTCCTCGTTTCCTCCTCCTCCTCCTCCTCCTCCTCCTCCTCTTCCTCGTCCTCCTCCTGTTCTCCTGCTGCTGCTCCTCCTCCTCCTCTCACCCTCCTCCTCCTCCTCCTCTTCCTCTTCTTTTTCGGGAATCCACCGCGAGCTCCTCGAATCAGGCGCGGCGAACGAAACCGCGACGAAACATTTGGATTCAAAAGAGTCAGACGAGCCACCCCGACTCGTCAGGCCAGGCTTTATAGCCTGGAGGCAAACGGCCCGCGGCCAAGGACCTGATTACGCGAGCCCCCGACTCGGCCCGAGTCATTGGCTCGCAGGCCTCGGTTAGCTGTTGGACTTTAATGGGGCCCGCTTCCCCGGGATAGCGGACCGCGCAACTTCCGCAAACTTCACGCCAAAACGGACCCCTCGTTACATTAAGTCGGTGAGACGGGCGCAGGGACTCGGGCCTGCCCGAACACTCCCCCCCCCCAGCCAACCCAACTTCCGCCCCCGCTCGGCCCTCGTGCCGCACTCCATGCAGCGCCAACCCTGACGGTCGCGGAGGAGGGCGCGGGCGGTCCTGCGGCGAGCCTCCTCCTCCGCCGCCGTCGCCCCCCCCCCCGCTCCTTCTGCTGTGCCACCCTAGCAGCGCGGCGCGAAGGACCGCGGGGCCCGCGCGCCTGCGCGGCGATGGACAGGGCCACCGCCATCAGGTGCTGCTGAGCCTTCAAGGTGCGGCGGTCGGCCTCGAGGAGGCGACTGACTGCCTCGGATGGGGACCTGACACTGACGGGCGCTCTCTTCAGCTGCTGCGTCCGCCGCTCCGTTTGCAAGTCAGAGGGATTCACCTACATGCTCGGGCCTGGAGTGTGACTTGACCTTGGTCATCCTAACATTCCTACCTGCAGCTACACGCCAGAACTCTCTCCAAGCCGAGCGGTTCATGGGCCCTTCCAAAAGGCGTTGGCCACGCATGCGCTGTCAACTGCCAGGTCAACATCACCCTCGGTATTCTTGAGCACCTCGAGGGCCCCTCTCATCTCGGCACAAGGGACAGTCTGCTTGAAACCAAGGGGGGGGGGGGGGGGGGGCTTCCCCACGCAACAAATCTTTAATCTCTGATCGCGCTGAAACCCAGGGCACAGCGGCGCAGGCGAGGCTCAGCTGAATAGGTCCCGCCTGGCCCGTCCGACCCCACCGCGCCCCCCGCCTCGAGCTTAAAGGGGCCCCCCTGCAGGGGCGCCGAGAAGACTGGTTCGGCCGCGGCCACCGCGTCAGCAATCTCCTGGGCCCAGGGAGTCGGGGGAAGACCTCTGAGCCAGAAAATCGGTGCCAACACCGCCCCCTCACGAGCAGCCTCCAGAAGCTCAGGATGGGCCCCAGGGATGTCAGGATTCTCGGGGCAATCCCACATTTGGTGAAACAGCGTTTCCCCCAGGGCGCCACAGCGAAGGCAGACGGGGGACCTGAGGGCGGGGCCAGCGATGGGCGGGCCAGGGTGCCCAAGTTTCCAGTCCTCAGGCTCTCCACGCGGCTGGCAAAACAGCACGTCCTCTTGGGCGGCGAGGCCACGCACGTGGTCCAAATCATCCTCATGGGGGGGGGGCTCCGAGCCGCAGCCGCAGCAGCCCCAGGAGGGGGGGATCGCCCCCTGCCACGATGGCCTCGCAAGCAGCCTGGAGGAGGGAGGCCGAGTCCTGGTCCCGGGCCCTTGGATCCCCCTGCCTCGCGGCCCCCGCGCCCCCCCTCCCGCCTCCCGGCCCAAACCTCCTGGTTTTGGGCCGCGAAGCCACCGTGACAACCATCTGGAGCACAGCGACTTTATCATACTCCTGGCGGCTCTTGAGCTTATGAGGCGCTGGAGCGCAACAATCAGACCCCCCAAAACTCCCCCCCATGGTAGGGCTGGCTGGCCATCTGCCACGGCTTGGCCTCAACTGCAAATCCTTGGGCCAGCTCCAAGACACGGCCGGCATCACCTTCCGACAAATCAAAAGCCTCTCTGCCCACGGGGTCAATCCAGAGCCAAGGCCCAGAGGCTGCCCAGCCGAGGTCCAGCAAATTGGCGACAACAGCCCCCATGGGGCCCTTGATTCTTCCCCATCTGGACTTGGCCTGACTCACATCACGCCGCAACTTTCTCCAGGCGAGGCTTAGCGGAGCGCGGGCATCAGAAACGATCGCAGGTAACATGTCCACCCACGTCTGAAACATCTACATTCTGCCAAAAACAAGCGGGTGCTGCTCGGGCGGCAGAGCAAGACGGATGGCGACCGCGGCACGGCCCCCCTCGCATCGCATCCCCATGGGCCCAGACACCTGGGAGCGGAGCTGGTGGATGGTTGTTGGTGCCAGGCCCATCCCTTCACAGCCCCGCGTGGCCTGTGGGGGGAAGCCTGTTTTGCCTAACTTTGCGACCTGCGGGCTGAGTTTAGCTACTTGTGCAAGCATACGGCTTCTGCCTCTACCAGCCGAAAATCTCTTCTCGCAGTGCCGACCGAACGACGACGCGACGAACCGTCAACCCCCAGATCTTTGACTCACTGCGAGGTCTGGAGCTAAATTCCTGCGGCCGCGAGGGCCTCCGCAACTTTCTCCCGAGCTCTGGCGGATCCACTGCGATGGCGCTTTTCTCAGACACAACTAAGCCGCTGGCGGCGCATGTCGCGACGAGCGCAGAGGCCACCTGCACAGATCGCTCCTGGACGCGACGGCTGTGCCCGAACACGCGTTGGGACATGTTATCCACCCAGGTGTCCAGCAGCAACGGCTTAAACTTAGAGTGCAAATTGCGTAGGATTTCCCAAAGGGAAACGCGAGAAATAGCAACCGAGTGGCTGCAGCCTGCGAGCAGCCCGTTGAAGGGAACGGTGCTTTCACTCAGGCCCCCCTCGGCTCGCGCCCGCCGTGGACTGAAGTGAATCTGCATGGCCAAAAAGAGAGGGCCCATGGGGTACTCCGTGATTCTGGCAAGCCTGAAGATTTCGCCACACTGCAAGTGGTCGTAAACCTTGTCCAGACCCCAGAGAATCTCCAGCCAAGAAAAACCCTGGACGCTGGCCACTTCGAAACGGAGTCGCCGCAACAGGGCCGCCCTAGGCGGGGAACTCCCACGCGCCGCCCGATCCCAGAACTCAGCCCCCTCCTCGGCCCACTTGGCGACTTCTCCTCTGCGCAAAACCGACCAGGTCCGATGCGGGGCCTGGGTCAGCGTGATCGGGCAGCTGTCTCCGACGTATAGTTTAGCTGGACTACGTTGCCCTCTACTTGCACGGGCCATTCTAAACGTTGCTCTACTCCCTGCAAGACCCACAACAGCTGCTGCAGCCCTTCTTCTGGGACCTGAGACCACCACCTGAGGTTCTGCAACTGTCGCACTCCTGGGCCGGCCTGGGGTCCTCTTTGCCCCAGAACTTGGTCCATCTGTGCAGGGCCCCAGCCCCGGCGCGCAAACTCGAAATGACCCATTCCTTGAAACCTTTGGAATGGCCTCGGTTAACCTTTCGCTCAATCACCCCCACCACCCTACCCAGCTCCACCCTAGTGCCCTCGAGAGCGACAGCGGTGACAGCAGGCGGCGAGACAGGGGCAAAATTTGTTGCGCAGCCTGGCTGCGCGCATATTGCAGGGTGCTCTCGACGTCCTGGCGCCGCCGGGCGCGCTGAGCATGCCCCCCCAGGCTCGGTCAACCAAGAAGGCCTTTCTTCTCGCCCAAGACTCCCTGCAGAACGAGCCTCTAGAGCAACCCACCTCGCGAGGCCCTCGGAGCCCTTCATCCACCCTGGCGGCTTTGGCTCCACGACGTTCGCTATCTTCGTCTCAATGAGAAACCCTGGTAATCTATCGCGGTATCCCTCTGGGCCAGCAAGTGCTCAGCCGCCAACGCGAACTCCATGTACTCTGCCGAGAGTGCACGCTTGTCCCTGGGCAGGAGCTGGCACCTGACATCCTCCAGGGCCTCGCGCTTCATCTGCTGGACCGCCTCTGCGTGCTCGCCCCATGGGTTGTCGGGGCCCTGCATGCCCGCCGAGATTTGACGGGCGCGAGCGGGATCCTGCACTGGTACCTGAACGCATGCTTGTCTAGCTTCGCAATCATGCCGAAATGCGGGGCCGCCCAGGGCCCTTCCAGGTCACGTTCCAGCTTGAGTGTCCCCTGCAGGTCCTCAGAGACCACCATGTAGTCGATGAGCCGCCCACCTGCAGGGCGGTCGGTCACCTTGGGTGGCCCACTTCCCCCGCAGGTATGTGCCCCAGCCTGCGGGGCCAATCTCATCCAGCGTCACGTTCCAATCTCCCATGAGAACGAATGGTCTGACCATCGCGGCGACCAGGCTAACTATCTCATCCATCACCGCCAGGTTGCATTCGGCGAGGCCCACGTCCACGACGATGTACGCTGCCACGAACAGGGTCTCTATGCCCCCCTCGAAGCGCACAACCCGGCCTGCTCACTGTCTTCCCCCCAACATGTCCAGGGCGGTGGTGGGGAATTTCGCGGCTGCCCTTGATCGGCCAACTCTGAAACCCAACGCGCGCCTGCAGCGAAACTCCACCGCGCCCCTGCTTGCCGCCATTGACCGTCGGCGTTGCTGGCACGGAGGTCCCGCCCCAGTCATGCTTCTTGAGCTTCTTCGCGGCCTGGGGCAAACCCGGACAGGTGGTGCCCCGCGAAACCGAACGTGCTGAGGCCCCTCTTGCTGTTGACGCTGCGCTCCTCAACCTCTTTGACTAAATCCCATCCCCTCAGGCCAAGACTGGTGATGTTGGCGAAATAGAACTCGAACTGGTCCGACGTCGCCTTGCCCCGCGGGAGCCACTCCTCTCCCTGCCTTGCGCCTCCTGCTCTCGCCCGAGTGGCCCCTAGCTGCTCGCGCGACGGGGGGCAGGAGGGGGGCCGGTACAGAAGGGGGC